TTGCCCATAGCACAGGTGCTCTTTCACACTCTCAATGTAACAGTGACTGCCTTACCAATTATCCTTTTTCCAAAGTTAATTTTAGTTTTGCCCTGAAGGAAATCACCATCTTACACAGGCCACAAGTTGAAAAGTAGAACCAGAAGTGAAGGTTAGTGTTTAAAGTCTATACTAGTGGTTTGAGAATTGGATGCCTTTTAGGACACCGATTAACCCTGTGTTACTGTACATTTTGAATGTGTCTAGTAGGGCTGCCCCTAAAAGTCAAAGCTTCAAGGCAAAAGTTGAAAATCTGGCTAAGATGCTTCACTTCAATTGTTTGCTTATTTGCACAACAACATTTAGACAAGAAGCTAAAATCTAAGGTGGACTGATGTTCTTGCTAACCGATGAGCCGTCTGCTCGGTGTGTGACAAAGTTCATTTGTTGAGGCAAATTTGGCAATGACTGCGTGAGACAAATTAGCTGCAGCCACTGGGAAGTGCATGGTGACAGCAGTGATTAAGCTACTGTAATATTCCATATGACGTCTGCATATGCAGAAGTTTCTGATTAACAGCTATCCAAATGTTTTGTATCATGTTTGCTGCCCCACAAGACCAGTCTCCCCCTCTTTTTCTAATTTCTGTGAGTAAAATCACAGGAACTGTGGTCAAACCTCAAAATTAAAGACTTTGTCAATTCAGGTAAGAACAGCCCTGAATTTCATTCATGTTTTCACTTGTTCATACTGTTAGAAACAGCTGAATAGTCATTGTGAATTGTTTGGCAGGCTTAAGGCACCTTTCTCTTTTTCAAAACAAAAAAGTTCTCCTATTAGGAGTAAACATATATTGACACTTTTGATCATTTTTCCAACCATACATAGTATTTAGTCCGCTCTCCAATCTCTGCAGCTTCTATGAAAAACAGGGGTTGCAAAAATGTTTTTCACAGATATTTTAGATTAAGAAAAGTGCAGAAAAAAGTAAATGATGGTTAAGCTCTGTTTACGGGGCTGATGATCCTGACAGAGTTCACTGGGACCTTGAAGAGACTCCAGCCATTTCTAATCTCATTAGTGACACCTGGGCTTTTCCTTCTCTAACAAGTCTAAATTGCTGTTGTGAGTAAGGTCTAGAGTTTCTGTTTCACATTACTTTACACTGATTATGTAGCCTGGGGGCTTCATGGCAACTTAACTGCTGCCAAAACTTGACTAACAAAGTTGTTTCCAAGTTTGTAGGCAAGCAGTATGTCAGCAGCATCAGCACTTCCATTAGCATCTACTTTTAATCCTGTCAGCCACTGCTGTGCATTATGAAGTGTTTTATAAGTGCTCATAGCTGAATCTATAAGTAATAAATGGTGGCTTAGCACTTTGAAAGAAAACACACTCGATGCCTATAGAGATGCCTCACATATACAAATGTGAAGCCAGACTCATTTCAAGCTAGTGCCTACAGGGGTATTGATTAACATGCACATCTGTTTCCTCAGATGAGAATGAGATTTATGATGCATCTCTTGCAGACAGACAGTGCATGCCGAGTCAAATCTCAGTCCTTTACAGCAAGTCCAATTCAAGATTATAGCATTTGATCATTCATCTTCAATACTATGTCAGTTGTGTTTTTTTTTAATGGCAGACAGCTGCAGCTGTCCTTATAACTAATATTACTCAGCCCGTCGGCTACTTTCCCATTTATTATTTTGGATGTGTAAACCTCCGAGCATCACAAACAAGACCTACTAAGCTCATTTACAGTTTTATTTTTTTTTTTCACGGATTAGTCGAGTACTACCACCACTACCTTCATTAGTACTTCTACTATTACAGGAGCATGCTTCCATATTCTAAATAATCTTAATTTAACTTACACTTAGCCCCTCAGCTAATCAACCGTTTGAAACAAGACATTTTAGCTCCTCTGCCACTATCCATTTAAATCGGCTTTGCTCTAATCAGCTGCTCGTTGCAGACAGTGTTTGAACAGCAGTTGTGTATCCCTGAAATGACCATAATGAGACACCCCCATCTTTGACATCACTGAGATAAAAAAGGAATAATAAAAAAAACCTTCAGAAACAGTATTTAGAGCAGTCTGAAGGCTGACCTTGTGCCTCACAAGGATTACTTAAACATTATTGTTATTAGTAATCTTTGCCTGAGCATGCTCATATCTTTAATTATATGAACATCAACCATCACAGCAGTATATATACAGCTGAAAGTAATCAGAAGTATATCAGAAAACTTTATTTCACACTGGTTTAGCCTCAAGGTCAGTTGGTGCTGTAATGATTGGACACTATGTTTTGAGTAAAGACTGGGGCTAAAGATGGACAATCATTAAATCAAGTTTTAGTTTACTTTTACCATAAGTTTATTTTGTGTCCTAATCTGTCTACTGGCACATCGTTTGGGAGGTGTGTAACAGCCTCACTTACACACCACATGTTCTCTGACTTCCTGGTTTAAGGTCCTGCTTGTCATTTATTTACTTTATTTTAAAATGTAAGCTTGAACGGCTCATCGTTGCCACCGCACAGTGTTTCTGCCTGAATGGAAGCTTATTTTACATGGTGAGGATTTACGGATTCTGACACGGTGTGTGCACAGGCAAGCAGCGAGAAGAGAACAAAACACTGCTTCACGATGTTTTGTCTTCATTGAATTCTAGCCAATGAACTGCATTTCTTTTGTAAACCTGCGAAAATGCTTTGACTCAAGACAGCAAAGCTTCAAAAACTTTCTCTTGCTTTGCAGCTCCTATTTCGTTACAAGATCGTTTCAGAGTAACAGCTGCTGAAACGCCAAATGCTTGGAATGTTAATCAGGATTAAGTTTGAACTGTCATCTTGAAAAGTGAGGAAAAAAATGATACTCGAGACAATGAAGATCAAGAATTAATTAAATATTCAGAAACTGGTTAGACTTTTATAGGTCATGTCATTTACTGTGGCAGCTGAGGATTGGTGTGGAAGAGTTTATGCTCTTACTGAGAAATGAAATGTTTGATGTATTTAACAATGTGAGAACAGAACTGAAGTTAAACTAGAGCACTTTAAACTTGAGCAGTAATAAAACCTAATTCAAAATCACTGCAGCACTTATAACTACAGAAATTATAGATGTCTGAGTTAACAATGAAACCTTTCAAGCAGAACTGATTTTTTAAATAATGTGACGATTCCACCTTCTAAAATATAGGATTTTGTAGCTTTTTTTCTGTGTGCAACATTGTAGCAAATTAAGTAAAAGCAGAAAGAAAAAGTCGATTTTATTAATTTAGCCGAAAACTACCATAAGGATTTTGTTATTAATCACTGATGCTAGCAGACAACCTCCTTATTGATAAAATAATTTGTGCCAAATACATCAATAAGTGTAAAACAGCGTATGTCACTTTGTGTGAAGACATGAATGATAACAACAGATCATTTTGTTCATTTAAAAAAAAAAAAAATTAATACTATTTGCTGCAAAAGTCACCAGTTTTGCAAGCTGTGGAAAGACGAGTGCTGAGTTATGAGAATTAATAATGACTTTTATTGATAACACTTTTTTTTACCATAGAAGTTAAAGCTAAAAAGTGTGAAAGAGACATCAAAGTATGTAGAAACCAAAGTAAGTGGTTTTAGGTGTAATGAGGAAGATTGGCGCTAGCATCTTTCTAAACAGCTTGTTCCCTATAGTATTTTCTTCTGACAGAGTCTGAAGAACAGGAGGAGCTTGGTGGGATGTTATTTGTTGAAAGCGTATGCCACAATTTTTAGGGAATCAATTCTTTTTGTTTTATACTGTCATTTTACTTTGAAAAAATTAATTTTAAATTATTATTTTAGTGACTCAGAATCAAATTCAGGTATAGAGAGAGTATCATCGGTGGTAGAACCCCAAATAGCCTGAAAGCTGACATTACGTTCTCAAAGTTTGTATTAAAAGCTGACTCTTGCCTAAAACTGGAAGGGGCATTTAAATTGTAAATGAATGGTCTTGTAAAGAGAGAAGGAAATGTTACCTGGCCTGTGATTTTTTTCTCTCATCAGAACACTGACGCTGAGGGGATATTTGTGTGTGTTGATGAGCTAAATAAATAAAAGATGAGGAAAGGGCATGCGGGAGCAGTGTTGTGTAGACCTAGGATCTCCGCTTGATGCGAGGAGTTAATTAGTGCAACGCAGAATCTATTTACGTCGTCAAATCCGTCACGTTTATGGCTGCCATGTCAACAGAGCACATCAAGATGTATGGCTGCGCATAAGGAGAAAGCGAGATCCTCTAACACTTTTTAAGCTTACTGGACTCAGCTGTATTGATTAATGTCCATCTCTGTTTAGTGATTATGCACAATGTGGTCTCCAATTACTGTACCAAGAACTTGTCATTTAGCTCACTTTCATCTTACCCCACTGGGCTTTGAGTCAGTAGAACCATTAGGTGAAGCTGTGTGGGAAATTATGCATCACGTCATGAATCGCAGGGACTAATGAAGTATATGAATCAAAAGGATCAATTAGTAATGCCTTCTCCCTTTCACTAAGAGATTGGTTTAACTAGAGAGTTACGTGTTAGTCAGATAATGAAAGCGATATTTCACCCCAGAAGAACATTAAGCCCATATTAGCATGCATACCACCACATTCAGAACAATGTTCAGCCTCCAATATAAGTTTGTGTTCTACTGGAGAGTATTTGTTGTCATTGACAATTCAGAATCAGTCTACTTCACAGTTTGCAGAGAGAAAAAATGTATGACTGAAAACTGGAGAAAATAAGTGTTGATTGAATTTGTCTCACTTGTGTTTTTTCATTAGCTGTGTGAGACTGAATGCAAGATGACTGAACTGCTTTGCAGGTATGCATGCTGAAAACGGGAAACTGTTGCACCAGAGTGATATATATTTTTTGGGTTACTTTTAGTCTGGTTAGAAGTGTACAGTGAGGCATTCGGGGCCCAGCAGTGCAATCCTCAGCAGGTCAGAGTGTATCGAGGACATACATCCCTCCCCCTTACCCTCCATCTCCACACTGATTGGCTCCGAGTCAGGTGACCCTTGTTCCCCAACAGGGGGAGGGCGATCAGGACCTGTACCTCTTTCAGGGTCACCTGCCTCCTTTGGGAATGCCGCCCCATGATAGGTTGTGCTGGCGCTTGTGGGTGTGGTCTTCCCTGTGGTTGTAGCGAAGGGGGAAGGAAGAGGAGGAGTAGGAGGAGGAGGGGGCAACAGAGTGAGTGATTAGTGAAATGTGAATCAGTCTGTAGAATCAACTTTAGAGAAATGAGGGTGATTCCTGAGTCGAAAGATAACCATCACCCGTTAACATAAAGACCCTGTAATGACTGTCAGGGACATGATGAGCAGACAGAGCACAAGTTAATTCGTCTGTCAATTCGCCACTCCGCAGATACAGTGATTTAAATCTCTGCAGTGTAGTTAACCAGCTGCTTCAAGTCACAATGTATTTCTCCAGCAAAATGAGATTAAAGCATCTCAGCATTTGTGATCATATCCTGGACTCAAAAAATATTTTACAACCAAAAACAGCTTGTACCATTTTAAAAAGCTGTTTTTCACATTTTGCGACTCTAAACAGTTATGAGGGCACGATGAGAGTATGCTCTGAAAAGGTCACACTGAAATAATAATATAAGTATTTCTTTTCATAATGGCATAACTGCAACTAAGGTTTTGACCACCTGAATAAATTCCCAGAGCTCAGGAAAAAAAAAGAAAAAAAAAAAGGTTTTCATATTCTGAATTTATTGTATTGCAACTTATTATTCTTTTATGCATATTCCTATCTAATCAGATCCTTTCCTCCTTTGAACCACCATGACTTTGAACTCTACCATAGCTTAAATTCTTGAGTGAACATGAGTGAATGAATGAACATACGGATGGGCAACAAAATAAAGGAAAAACCTGAACCCCTGAGCAGTAAGTAGATCCAGTGGCTCAATTTTCACAACACAGTTTGGGTCCATGTGTCTGCTAAAAGGAACAGGTTGTTGCAAATCAATACATCATTTTTAACCTACAATGCAACATTTCTATTGTGCAAAAGTGGCCAGGACGGCAATGTCCTCATCTATAGGACAGAAAGGGCCACTGAATAGTTTGAAGAGAATGAAAATGATATGTATCACAAGCTATGGTGTTCCTGATGACCAGCACTCACATGGTAGAAAGTGTTCTTCCTCCACAATCATCAAAACAATAAAGGATAGAAGATCGGTAGCACTTTATAATACAGCCTGTGACGGGCATAAATCACCTGTAAATAAATGGAATTTCATTGGATTTTATTTGAAATTATAATGTAATTATAAAATAGTTAAAAGTAGGTACACTATAACAATGTGGTAAAAGTCAGGCTTTTGGAGGAAATAAAGAAAGGGTTAGAGTTTAAATTTAATCTGCAAGTAATTTAAAGTAATGCGTAAGTAATTTCAGGTATTGCATAACCATATTAAAGATTAGGGAGTGGCTTAACCTTGTTAACGTCCAGCTATTTTACAGAAAAGAAGACATTCCTTTCATGCACACTCCTTTTGAAAAAACAAAAAACATTATAAGTTCCAATTTTGATGGTACCAATTTATTTTTTCCTATAAAAGCAAGCAAAAACCATCCTTGTCACATTTATACTGGTAAAATAAAAGGATACCTGAATATTACAACAAGCATCATGCACCTGTGTTACAGCGGAATTACGATATAAGATGGGGAAAAAGAACTTCCTATATTGTAAAATTACTACAAAATCGCAAACTATTTCGAATGAATTTTGACTACTTCGATGTATATGTTTTCTCCCTACTGTTGAAACATAACTTAAGTCACTCCATAATCTGTGATATGGATATATGATACTTAAAATTAATCATCCACTACCTAAAAATACTTAAAATTACTTGGATAATGCTTAAATTTAAAGTATAATTATTTCTTTGTTTTGTATTATAAAGTGTTACCAGAAGCTCCTTTGGGATGACAACGTGTTTCTTCCCTTTAGTTTAGTGACTTAAAAAAAAAAAAAAATCAGTTGGAGTTGTTCTGATCATACATGGTGTCCCAACGCATTACTAAGGCACCTTAAGTTGCATTTTCCTTACGTTTGTCTAAAAACACTCATTCCTGACAAGTTACTTCTCCATCACCTCGGTGTAGCCCAGCAAACATTATGACTAACACATTTGGATTTGGTTCAAACATATGCCAAGAAACACACTGGGCATTAGTTGCCACAGGCACGGTATTATCAAACATATTTTTTCCCGATGACACACTCCACATCTTGATTGCACGATTAGCTCTCTGTTGTCCTTGAGGTATGGTGAGCAGCATGCTGCTATTGGCTTGGGCTCACGCACTAATAAGCCAGCCATAATGTTAGCATTCTGCAGAGTTCACACCCAGACTGGATGAGAAGAGTTTGCACTCTCTGTTTCTCACTGTGAGCCAGTTGACAGTGTTCACTCTGAATGAGGAGCCCTGTCAGTTCGCCATCTGTGCTGGGCAAATTAAAACTGTACCAGGAGGTGCTTGGCCCTGGCATTTTGGACGGCAGCTCCATGACTTCATCATTACTTTATTAACTTACCATTTTTTAAGAAAATCTAATAAAATGTTTGTCTTTTTTATTGTTAGTGAAGCACAAAAACCCCGTCCACTACAAAACACAGAAACACTTTACTACCTACACAGGCAGGTGCTTGTCTCAAGCTAATCCCTGTGCTGGCTGTGATTGTTTGGGTGACAGTGGAAGAAAGAAAACGTCCCTGCCTTTGGTGGTTTTTTCGAACAGGGAACAGAGCCCCCGAATGACAACAGCTTTGTTAGGCATATGGAGTGTTTTATTGTCTCGGAAAGCTGATAATTGATGTTCAGTGTAGAGACTTAAAAGGCTTTTCTTGTGAATCAGCTAGAAAAAAAAAACTATAGACACAAAAAAGAATAAACCAGAGACAGAATCTGACTGTGTGTGGAAAACTTCAAACGGAGCAGTGAAGCATTAGGGTAGTGAGAACCCCACAGGATTAAGCAGTAGGGTTGCTCATCAAGTCTTGCTACCAACTGAGTTGTAATTCCTCCAGCAGTGAGGCTTTACAGACTACTGAGGCAGTGTGGGACTGTGGAGGTCTGGGCTGAAGCCTCGAGCAGACAAAGTGGCCTCTGTTCTAAGAAAAAGACACAGATGTAGGAAGGATAGTTCTGAGCCATAATGGCCAGCATCTTCTAGGATGATGGGCTCGGTATTGTTATAAATCACTGTCTTGGATCAGCCACTGCCATTAGATCCCCTGTGCCTCAATTTGTCCAGTGACAAAGGGATCTGACTCCTCAACTCCTTAAAAAGTTGAGGCGGGTGCACTAGCTGTGTAGATAAAAGTGAATGAGCCTTGTTAGCAACCATCTGTTTGAAAATGACTACTTTTGAATGCAGCAGTGTCAGAAAATTGTCCTAACACCACCTCCTCAATCTTATCTGAGTGCTAGCCAGCTTAGCGCCATTTCTATTTCTATTCCGGCCATGCCAGGGGCTGTGCGGTGTGGCTGGCGGGGGAGTAATGGAACGTGACAGGGATGATGATCCTTCTTGATACAGGGCATTAGGCAGCCTGGCCAGTGGAGCTCCTGGTCCATCAAAGAAGTGATGCTTCAGACAATGGCTTCAATGTTTAAACTGTCAAACTGGCTAAGAGGGAGAGGTGGTGCCAGCCATTCAGCTGCCTCAGTAAAAGATTGTCTAACCTCCCATGTAGCCAAGTGTGGAAACATTTACTTTACAGGCACATAACTGCATAGATCTGACTCGTAGGGAGTGAGAAGTCCTTTGCAATGATATTTGGGGATATTTTAAAAAAATATCCCAGCTGTTTTACTAATACGGCCTTAAAGGTTTTTCCAATCTTCCAATCTCTCTTCTGTTCATACAAAAACCTACTTGATTTTAACTTTTGCTGGTCTCATCTTCAAGGTAACTTCCTTACACACCTCTGGGCCTCACAGTGCTGCTGCTATGCATAGTAGAAAAAAACTTCTAAAATAATACAGGATGCAAACAAAATTTCCACAATTAAATAAATAAATGAAAAGATAAAACTAACATCCCTTTGGGAATAAGAAAGGCTGTTAGTTGTTTCTTAGCTGTGAGACTGTTGACTTTAGAGAAAAGGGACATAAATGGAAATAAATATACGTATAAATAAATAAATGTGTCCACTGACCATACGCTGAATCCAGTGCTGTGTTCTGCTTGCGAGTGGTTGCCAAGACATCTGGAGAAAAGAAATACAAAACAATATCAGTGTGATATTATTTGTTAAGATTTGCGTTTTCTGGACAACATTTCATTACGTTCTGATGGGAGGCAATGATTGCTGAATTTGTCCTGTTAGTGGTTCTCATCACATCCCAGACACATGCAAAAGAGCTGGAAACAATTCACTTTGTCTTACAAAAACATGCTTCTTTGAGCAAATGTTTAATTAGCATAGAAAGATTGAGAACAGTATTCCAGCAGGGATTGTGAACGGAGGTGGACAAACTACTTTTCAAGCTCCTTCAACATGAACTAAACTGCAGCCATAGCTAAAATAAAACATAACGCTCCATTTTAATTTGTTCAGTTGCGCCAGCTGCCGTCGAGATCTGATAACAATCAGTAGTTTTAAATCTGCCTTTATTGATCATGTAAATTCCTACGAATAAATGAGTTTGTTCCATCTCACCGTGGCAGGTATCGGGGTGCTGATGGTAGCCGTTCTCCACATCCTGTTCAAACCCGCCTCTGAAGACAAAGAAACAAAGACGCACACCCACACAGCAACAAAGACAACGAAGCCTGTCAGTAAATTTGCATCAATCCATTTCACTCAATGTCCATTTCTAACAAAGCACCTCTTTCCAAAATTGGTTTTGCTCAAAAGCAGCTTTTGGAGACAGGAAGGCAAGCGCACCAAAAGAAAGGGGGGGGAAAAAGAAAAGAAAGAACAACAAAATTTAATTTGTTTTACATCTGGCTGAGGTCAGAGTGTTTGTTGTTTGGACACAGTAGTGGCCAGAACTGAAGGAAAAAAAATCTACCCTTAGATCTTCCTGCAAGGTTGTATACCATCAAATTTGTGGCGTTCAGCAGATTCCAGAAGTTAGTTTGTGATGAAAGTAGTAATTTACTTTTGTGTGTCCTTGCATTTCCTCAGCTTGGCTCTTCTGCCTGTACTCTACTTAGTCATTTCCTACAATTTGTAGATATAAGCCTCTCTCTCTATCCACAACACCTCCTCTAGCTGCACTTTATTTAAGTCTACCAAAGCTGCAGCTGATAAAATTGGTACCTACAGTTTGCTCGCTCGCTTGCTCTGCCATGTACGATCGCCGGATGAAACAGTGAAGTGTATCAGGTCAGACTCACTGACACCAAAGCCTATCATTTTCCCTGATGTCTTCACTGAGACATTTTCTGCTCCTGACTCCCTGGCCACCTCCATGGACAGTTTTCCAAATTAATGAGTAGCACAAAGTGAAGGAAATAAACACAAAAAAATGAATTGCTTTTGCAGAAAGCTTTCTAAATGTTTTTTGTGGATTTCAGAGAGGAAAAGAGGAAGCACAAGGTCTCATTCAAAACACCATTTACTGTTTTATGCAAGCGATGTGGAAGGTTAATGAATATTTGTATAATTATTATAATGTTTTTGTGGTCCCCAGACTTTATGCATGCTTGTGTGGCACTTTATTCTACATTCGGTTACATTTCTGTAGAGTGTGATTACATTTAATTGAGTGACAGTCATAAACTGAGCCACTGTGAAGTGAAGAGACAAAAGATCAAATAAGTCCCTTCAAAAATGTTTTCGCCGTGTAATTTTTGCCTTTGTGAACTTGTGAGTATGTAACTCAAATCCTCTTAATTCACCTTTTGAACCACTTCAAACTGACAAGAAACACAATCTGACAATTATTGATTTTCTGCTGCTCTGATCAAAACGCGCCTACGATTGATACGCTTTTCCCCTTAATACAGACGAGCCATCTTTTACCTTCAAGTCAATCACAAATAAACGGCTCATCCAGATGCATCCGTTTGATGGTTAAGCATTGAGATTGAGCCAGTGCACGGTGGAGCGGAAGTCTTTCCAAGCTGAGCTGAAATGAGCTTCACATCGTCGCCAACAATCCTCCCACATGTTGTAATGAACCAAATAAAGCAGACACAGGCTCATATACTGCATAAGCTTAAGTGTAATGATCCGGTATACAAGAAGAAACACTTTGTAAAAGCACACTCACACGCCCACTCTATAACAAACCAATTAGTTCCTTATATAACCTAAACAGAAACATAAGTCTCACACAGATTTTATGCAAACACAGACCCCCAGCATCCATCTATTATTAGCAAAAAAGTCTTCTAACACAGAGACAAGAGAAACACTTTTGCAAGCACAAATTCAAATAATGAGCATCGAAAAAGCAATAATACTAAACTCAGAAGGGGGTTGGTGGGGGGGGAATCAGCGCAAATAATCATTTCTTCACTGCAAACAGTCAAATTTAGGGATTTGTGTTTGTAAAACCTTCTGCAAGGAGGCTGATTAGCTCACATGGGCCCACCTGGTGCACCAAATTATACCCTTTGTTACTCACTAAAAACCCTGACTCTTTTATACCAACTTCTTATGTTTCCTGAGGAGGGAGAGTGTTGGTGTAGGACAGGAGGTGATTATCAAATCAAAGAACACCATGCTGATACTCAGTGTTGTGTGGAGAAAAGAGTAGTTTGCGAGATAAACTTGAGAAAAACAAAAGAAGATATATCTTTAAAGGATGCATTTTCACAGCTTGGGAGTAGCTGGTGTGCTTGACATTAAACAACTGATGAAGTTTTTTATCCGTTTCTATTTTTTCCTTTTGTTTAAGTCACAGACTTTGTATGTTAGTTGTCATTTGCTTTTTATTCACCCTACCATTGTGGCACTTGCTTTTAATCAGTACAGTGAACAGCTTTTTTGCTTCTGTATTTCTACACTCGCTGGCCATTTAATTAGGCATGCCTTGCTACTACCAGGCTGGACCCCCAAGTGGCTCTCAGATTTGGATTAATTGGATTGAGATCTGGTGACTGTGGAGTACTTGAGTACAGAGAGTGAAAACCAGTTTGATATGATCTGAACCCTGTTACATGGTGTGCGATCCTGCTGGAAGTAGCCATCAGAAGATGGGTATACTGTAGTCATACAGGGGTAGGTTGTGGTATTTAAACAAAGGTGAACAGGTCCTAGGTATGCCAAGAAAATATCCCCCCGTTATACCATCAACAACACATTTTATGTGGTTCCAGTTCTGTACGCCGTGGTAGAAATTGGGAACGTTTTTCCAATCACCCACTGTCTAATCTTCATTCCCTTTCAGCCTCATTTTTGTGTTCTTAGCTGTAAGGAGTCATACAAAGTGTGGCCTTCTGTTAGTGAAGCCCATCGGCTTCAAGGTTCCACATATTGTGCATTCAGAGACGCTCTTCTGCATACCTTGGTTGCAATGACTGGTTATTTGAATTACTGTTACCTTCCTTTCATAATGTGAAGCAGCTGAGCCATTCTCCTCTAACCCTCAGACATCAACACAATGTTATTTTGTTCAGACTATTCTCTGTAAACCTAAGAGGTTGGCTGGTTAGGTAGCAGAAAAATCCAGGAGGCCTCCAGTTTTTGAAACACTCAGGTTACCTTGCCCATGTCTGCCTAAGATCACTGACTTGCTGTCATCTGAACAGCTGATTAGATATTTGGGTTAACATCCTAAGACCTGAACTTCTCCATGGCATGCATTTTTAATTTCTCTTTGATATTTGGGCTGATTGGCACCTGATGAATGTAAAAACAAAGAATTATCAGGTTTTTTTTTGGTTTTTTTTACCTAATTTTTGTTTCTGAAATTTGTTTAAAATTTCAATAGAACAGCGGCAGTATAATGTCCTCGTAAGTGGATATCAGGCCTTGTAGAGCAAAATGTAGTATTTTGGTGTGGACAACCCAAAATGTGATGTCCACATTTATGGACGCCAGGTCCTAGGAGGTTAATGAGCAGCTGAACCTGATGAAGTGGCTGGAGAGTGTACTTACATCTATATTTTGTATTATAAATTCATTTTGCTGTGAGGCAAATTTCCCTCTGGACAAACAATGTTAAGCTGAGATGACCAACATTTTCACCCTGCCGTTTCCATCCACCTTTAGCTGTTCACCAGAAAAAACAACACACGCCTCAAACTCATTTTTTAAAGTGAAGGTCAAACAGTGAAGTTTGAATCAGCAAGTGGAAAGACTATTTTATTTCACACTGTGGATTAAAAGTAAACCAAGGCTATAAATAGAGTTGTTTTAACTAGTAGGTTGACCGGTCACCTTGATGTTTAAAAAATATGCAAAACCGCTGGCACTCTTCACCATAATTGTCCTGGAGTTCATGAGCATGAATAAACAGCTGAACCCAAGGGCCACTCACACTGTCGTGCTCAACTTCACAATTACAACGCGCTCACTGCTCTTATTTACAAAATCTTTCAGTCTAGGTTCAAGTACTGCAGCTTTTACTATGCTGCTGAGCAAAGAGATCTAAATTTCTGCCTGGTGTGCAAGATTTGTTCCGTGGTCTTTATCTTTATTCTGACACTCAAAACAAAATGCCCTTCCAGCCAGGAGCACAGTATTGATTTTATTTAGCAGATCAGAGAAATAATGTTTTTGGATGTCTGACGTTCCACTTTAATGACGCCAATCTTAAATAACACGTAAGGTGAGCATCTGCACAAGAAAATAACTCTTTCACACGGGAATCCATAAACAAGGAAAAAACGTAGGCTCAAATTAATCACACGTGTAACCACCAAGGCAGGATGGAGAACTGCACGGATACAGATGTGTAATTCAATCATACACAACCTGAATGGCTGTAGATATTTTGTACAGATATATACTGTATGTAATATGTAAACATGTGTATGTATATTCTAGAGTTGACCGCACTTCAGTGTTTCAGTAAAATAATAATAAATATTGTATAACTTCAAAGAAATTTAAATACAAGGTGCTTGGGGAAAAATGTATGAACTATACATAACATACAGTATAGCTGCTAATGTCCTAAAGCAGGGAAATAATGACTGCAGAGCCAGTTATATTTATGATTTGGCGCCATGACTGAACAGAAGTTGTGCAGAGTCTGCTCCAGCTGGCAGTCAGTGAAACCATCATCACATTATATGGTACTAGTGGCATTTGGCATCAGGGTATGCTTGTGTCCCATTTTTATTTTTAATCAATATTACCATATTTTAATTCCCAGATAAACTGCTAAACAAACCAAAGTGTGCAGAATCTGTAAGATTTTAGAGCATTTAACTTTATTTTCAGTATTTACGAGTCCAAAACAGATCACAACAAAGTAAATAACTGAAACGTTTAGTAGATTGAGGTTAACTGCTCTCCAAATACTTCTAAAAACACATTGGTGAGGTTGCAGTGGGTGACATATTATTTATGATTTCTTGCACTGAACTCCCACACATATTAGATTTTTTTTTATTTTTATTAATCCCACATAGACGGATGATTACTGGAAATACTGGAGCAGAATGAGTTAATCCAAAGCCGAAAATAGTCCCCAGCAAATAGACCATATTTGTTCTTTTAATCCATTTGATTAGTGTTTTCTAAAAAGTAGTGTTCACTTTTAAAGAAATTCCTAAGCCTCTGAGAAACTGAAAGAGAAGAAATGTATTTTTAAGGT